GGTGATCGAGTCAAAAAATTTTCATCCATTATTTTAAAGGTTCAAATCTTCAACCGGACTAGCGAACATATTTTCGTTAGTAATTTCTATTGACGTTTTGATAATTTCTTGTAGTGGTTCCACCCATCTTGCTTAAGGTCCAAAACCTTCGACTGAACTATCTCGTGAATGACTGTCAAATCAAGTAATATTAACTACGGATCGAGCCGTATATGATTTTATTTCAAAGCTATACGATTTAAGCAAACATTAATTCTCTAACTTCAATAAGTTTCAATAAAGCAATACTTAGAATTTTTTCTATAGCGAAAGAAAAAGAAAGAATAGAATAGAATAACGAGGATCATGCTTAGATGTTGACAAATATTTGTTCATGTGATTTTAGAAAATAAAAAATGTAAATAGAAAACATAAAGTAATATTTAAATATACCTTTTGACAATTCAATTTATACATGTGAAAACCATTTTGATGTCATCTACGATTAAGAGGCCTAGAAACAACTCTTAGTCTTGGAGATATTAATTAATCAAGAGTGGTTATAGGCTAATAGCCTAATTAGCTTATAGCCCTTCCCTTGAGTTCATCATCATGAAGTTGAAATACAAATTAAAGAAGTGAAAAAATTGAACCCAATTACCTAAATAATCTTGCTAGACTAATTGCATGTTTAGTCCAATAAAATATTTTTGGGAGATCTGTAGGATTATGTTGATGGGCAAATGGGAAGAAATAAAAGTAGCTCCAAGTGAATAGGGCAAAGCAACTATATAAAATATTATTGAAGACTAATTTCTTCATATATAAACAATTAGGGCTTAATTTCTTAACCTATGAGTAGGGGTGGTCGGGTACGCGTCAACTTTCAAAAATTGTACCAAACCATGTCAACCCAAATGCAGATTCGATTTTATAATTTGGTAAATAAATTTTTATTGAGTTTATTTAATGGGTTGCACTATAATAATAGAATATTGGAATTCTAAGGATACTGATACATATGGGTTATTGTTATTTTAGGAACTAAAATTTTTCCCGCTAAATGTGGAAACATGCCGTTATATTTGCATTAGTTAAGTTGTAAACTGTATTTGATTTCACGTTTATGTGAAATATATAATATTTTAATGATGCCAAAAATCCCATCTATTTTGTAAGAGTCACATTAATGCTACCAATTAAATGCATATGTTTAGATATTAATAGTTATATGAAAAGTGATTAACATATATGATCAATATTGATATGTAAATTGTTAACTTCAAGTCATACAGTATAATCAAATAGTTAAAATTATATCAAATAGTACTATTATACTATTTTATATATAGATTATAATATTTTCTTAGGCATATGTGCAAATACATAGTCAAATTACTAGTATTTTATAATAAGATAATTTTACGATGCATTACGTTACATAATATTCAAATGATTTTTCCTCTAAGGAAAAACTAGTAAACTTTTTTGTTTTCCTACACGCTCGACACATAAAATTACCCACATCTTCAATGATTTCGTAATCCAACCGTGATTCCCCATTGTACTTTTGTCCAATATGCTTGTACTAATTATGAAATATGAATCAAACTAATCATATTATTCCTTGTAATTAATAAACTATATAAAAATACATGATCCGCACAAGAGGGGTTTTTTTTCTGACAATGGCAATGGGAGGAGTTGTAATTATGCCCATTGACTAGTGAGAAAAGCAATCCTCTTTTCTTATCAAGAGCTTTTGTGTGATTTTAACATTAGCATATTGATTATTACAAATTGTGTTATAAATTAAGTATATTTAGGTAAATATATGATCTCTTATTTTTATATATATATAATTACTGTGCATTTATATTTTATAGCAGCTTTTGTTTGATTAAATATTCGATGAGTTTTAAATTGCCACCTAAAATAATATTTAAATATCAAGCTAGACGGTACTTGCGCGTCACGATTTTTACCAGAATAATCCTTCTGCCTAACCTTCAAATTTTGGCTTGTCAAAGTTGTTATAACAAACTCATGTATCCAACGCATTATTTCAGTAACATTTGCATATTACAAATAATATTCGATTACAACCAATGACATTATTTTACAATCACTACAACAAAATGATCAAATTCCAACGGAAAGTTCAAATACAAATATATTTTAATGGAATTCCAACGGAAATTCTAACCAAAATATTTCGTTGGAATGAGTTTTCCATTGAAACTTCTGTTGGATTTTGAAGATTCCAACGGTAGATTTTTCAACGGAGGTAGAAATAAAAATTCCAACGGAAATTGCATATTCCAACGGAAATTTCTATGGTAAAACACCGTTGGAAAAATAGTTGTTGAAATCATCAAATTTCATCTAAAATTCCAATAGAAAATTCATTTCAACGGAAAATTTTCGTTGGAACGGAAGCTATACCATTAGAATTTCCGTTGGAATATATTATCGTAGGATTTTCTGTTGGAGTATAACATTTTTTTTGTAGTGAATGTACTTTCTCTTATAAAATGGACATTTATTTATTTATTTATTATTATTATGCTCTCCATTTAGGTTGGTACGACATGGATTTTATTCTAGTTTTGATTGTACATGGTTGAAAAAAAAAAAGCTTTTTATGTATTCTCATAACTTGCAAAGAAATTATCAAAAGAGTTTGTATTAATTTTATTTATATGTTGTACCCATATTCATGTCTTAATCTTAATATGCAATAGTAGCTAAGCTAAAACCTACCATTAGTATTACTTTATGTACTTGGCTCTATCTTGGTAAGTGTCCTTGAGCGAGTGATTTTTTTTCCTTCTTACTTGCATTCTTCCCCCATTTATTGTTTTAGCCCATGGTTCCTTAGGGCGTGAATCCGACCTCCTGACTTGTCTGCCATGACCTTTCCGAGGGCGTACCTTACCTAATCTTGAGGTCTAACCCGACCTCATCCTTAGGTCTATCCTATCCTTAGACCGCCCGATCTCGATATTTCGAGGTCTTTTATTTTGTCGGGCTCCTGAAGATCGACAACTCCATGTCGTGTCTTTTCTGGTAGCTCGGTACCTTAAGCCCATATACAAGCTACCTGACCGAGCATATTACTTTGTATATACGAGAGCCTCTCCCAGTTCGGCCTTAATCGAGCTATCTGCTCAGGCTGTCCTATCGAGTTGTTTTTGAGTGCTATATCAATATGTATATTATATATTTTGATACATATAGTTTTTTTTTCGAGTATATAATTTATCAATACCCCCTATATATAATTTCCGAATATGCTTAGCCTAAGTGACAAACTCGAATGCTTCGGAATACTATGTGACAAATTTTCATGCTTTGTCATTTGAGTTGTATAAATTTTAATTTACTTCTAACCCAAAAATAACTATGCGTGGAATAACCATAAATATACTAAATATACTGGATATTTATAATTCTTTTAAGAGTATTGATTATGTTTTATATTATTTCCTATTCTAAATGTGGTTTATAAAGCAAAATTTTTTTCTCAATCTTTCTTTTTTTCCTTTTCTTTTTTTTTTTTTTATAATTATAAAAAAATTTACCATCTTACATATAAATATATTTAAAAGGTAATAATATATTATTTATTATAGTAATTAATCATGTCTTAATGAACTTTGATTTGACATCTATATTATACATAATAAATATTTACCATAAATAGTAGCAAAAAAGTAGGACAAAATTTAATGCAACCCATAAATAGTAAGTTTTATTATTTTTTAATTTTTATATTTAAAAAAACCATACATCATTGAATGTTGCCTCAAATTTTCAGCTTTAATTCATTTTAATATTTAAAAATTACGGCTAAAATCTATTAAATGTGCACATTTTTTATTTTTATTTTTTTTTCTTAGAAACAACGAACAACATTAAAAATTTCAGTCTTTATATTTATAAAATCTCAATTTAGAAGGTAACAAAAGTTTTAGAATATCGGTGTTTATATTTGTGCCTTTCAAAAAAAATATTGAACGCTATTATTTAAATATTATTTTTCACAAATCATCACAATTCATTTATTTGGAATGTGTGATAATAAACTTGGTAATGTTTATCAATTATTTTTTTTTACCAAACTATTGTTTTTCTAGACTCGGTTTCAAGAGGTAAAATAATTTTCAAATTATGTGTCTCAATAGTTGCGCATGTCAAAAAAAATATTTAATGATAATTATATTATTTGTTAATAGTACACGATTTTAGAAACTACATTATAAATTGCATGTTGATATCCAAATTCTTTTATATATGCAATCAACTTTGTTAAATCTACACAAAAATATGGTAAAACACAATGAGACGATCAACTTTGTATGGAAATAAAATAATATCAATAAATCAATATGAAGTTCAAATGAAACGAACATAATTAGTTATTTGAATAGTACACGAATCTCAAAATTAATACTCACATGGATTCTAAAATTCAAACTTATATTTATCATCATCTTTTGGAAATTGAATAATATAATGTAGGATTTTTTTTTTAAATAGTTTTAGACATGTTTTCTTTACAAAACAGTTTAGAAAAATTTTAGTTGACTTCACATCTTTCAATAATGATATATAAAATTTTAGAAACTTTACATATGTTGTATAGTATTTTAGGTGTTTTTAATATTTTAAGCATACATCTTTTTATGTTAATTTATACAAGATAATTTATATTGTTTACAACTGAGATTCAATAAATTATGTCACATATTACCTTAACATCTTAATTTATAACTATTATGTAATATTTTTTTACTCTCATATTTAATTTATAATTATTAATTAATATTAATAATTATTTAATATTGTTTACTTGTACATCGGACTGGCTACGCTATAGTTATTATTACAAAGGGGAAGCCGAATCAATTTGTTTTGTATTCAATTGAAAACCCTCCTTTTTGTCTGTTGGGTGTGGATGGAAAATAGGGCCTCCAACAGAAAAAAAAAGTAAAAAAGAATTAAATTAGGACAGGGGTTTTCTTCNGGGGTTTTTTTTTCTGAAAAAATCATGAAGGCCTAAAACGCAGAGCAACAAAGAAAAGAGTGGGTTCTGTACTGTCTTAGCTTGTCCCCTTCCACTTAAAACAGTTCAATTTCTAAACTCTCTCTCTCCTAACCTATCTCCCTCAAATACACACCCAAAAAAAAAGGGGGAAAAAATAATAGAAGTCTAAAAGGGGCACTACCACATTGGCTTTCTTCAGCCCTTTTGCTTCTGTGGTTTGCCAAAGCAATTGCCCATGTCTGTTTCATCTGCTCCCCCTTAAAACATAGCTGCAAATGGGGGAGGAATCATACTTTGAATTTCTTGTTATTATTTGATGCCTTCTCTCTCTGTTGTAAAAAAGTTCTCATCTTTCTAGATTAATTTCCCTAGTTTCTACTGTTGATTATACACTGCTCACAGACATCTGTATGACTTTTGTTTTTTTGAATTTTTTTTATTACTTTTCTGTTCTTGACTTAGTGGAGAACTGGAGATCCCTCTTCTGCTCTTCTTGTTATAAAGACTCCACCTTTATGAATTTCACTGACCGCAAATTGACTTCTTTTGGCAATATACGAGCCCTTTTTGTGTTTCTGGCCTTTTTACTTGTTTCTTGAGTGTATTATTCCTTCTGCAAAAAGGAAAAATAATAAAAAAACGAGACATAAAAAGGAAGAATCTTTGAGGGCATCCATGGAAATTGATCTGAATCATGTTGTGTTTGAGGTGAATAACTATAATAATGCATGTTTGAAAGGTGGGAATTGTGAAAAGGGGGAAGGTGTTAGTTTTTGTGTTCATGGGTGTTTGTCAAATTCTGCAAATGCATCATCTTGTTCCTCAAATGCTGACTCATCATCATGCTCCTCAAAATCTGGTCAGTCCTCAGTGTATGTAGAGCTGTGGCATGCCTGTGCTGGGCCCTTAACCAGGTTGCCCAAGAAAGGGAATGTTGTGGTTTATTTCCCTCAGGGCCACTTGGAACAGGCTGCCTCCTCACCATACCCTCCGGTGGACCTGCCCGCTTTCGATCTCCCCCCGCAGATCTTTTGCAGGGTTGTGGATGTTGAGTTTCTTGTAAGTGATTTTAGTATGATGGTTCTCTTTTCCTCTATGGTCTTTTTTCTTATGCTGCATTTGCTGAATTTTTGTGCTTTCTTAGATTTTACTTTTCTAATTGATTTTTCTCTTTTTGTGGTGATACAGGTAAACAAGGAAAATGATGAAGTGTATACTCTTCTGAGTCTAATTCCGATACCAGAGGTATGTACTATTAGCAATTATGAACATCTCATCTTGGTAGTAAAATCGGCTAACATCTGTGTGGTCAACTGGTTATAATTGTTTAAATAATTCGAAGCGCATGGTTTCAAGAAAATTGTCACATTTGGAAACTCGAACTCTTTTGCTCGATGCATGATCTGCATTTCTATGATATTTAGGGCCAGTGTATTGTATGCATCTCGGTTTGAATTCCATTTCCAGATGAATGCTTAGGGCGTGCTTGTATACAAATATATCCGCTCAAAACGAGTTTTTTTGGTTAACCATCGTTAATTTTGAAAAAGTTGGTATGGTTTGTTAGTTGGATTTTGAGTTTATATTAAAATAAAATAATTAAAATTAATTTCATGAAGAAGTGTGAGAGAGATTATGTGAAATGATGGTTAGTCAAAATTATGTGAGTGGATGAATAGTGAATTAAAATTGATGTGATATGTAAGAATGATTGGTTGATATTATTTAATTATATCGATAACATTTAGGATAGTGGGGTTGTGTTAAAGTTGAGTTTGATTTTGAGTATGAGTTGAAATAATTTATGAACAAACACACCCTTACGAACTGTTTAGCCTTAGGATTCTTGATTGTGAGATAGTTATTCGAACATCGTGTGTCTTGGACCAATCAGTTTTTTTTTTTTTTTTTTTTTTNAGCGTGTAGTGTCTGAGCAGCTGGCAAAGCTAAATTTAGAAGGCAAAGAGAGTGAGAATGAAAGCTCCAAAGATGATGAAAACAAAACTTTGTCTGCAAAACCAACTCCTCACATGTTCTGCAAAACACTTACGGCTTCTGATACGAGCACCCACGGTGGATTTTCTGTTCCCCGGAGGGCCGCGGAGGATTGCTTCCCCCCTCTGGTTTGTTCGTCAACTTAAATAAACATCATTTTTTTCTTTTATTTTTTTTTTCATTGGTTGTTCTGAATATTGTCATGAATTTAATGTTTTGCTCATGTTTTGATGGTTATGGTGTTGTTTTAGGATTACAAGGAACTAAGGCCCTCACAGGAACTCATTGCCAAAGATATCCATGGAGTGGAGTGGAAATTTAGACACATCTATAGAGGTGTTAATTAATCATTATTTTTTTTGATGAATTTTCGAAACTTAGTTTCATTATAGAAGTTTCTGATTTGCTTTGGTTTTCGAAAAAACCCGACAGGTCAGCCGAGGCGACATTTGCTTACGACGGGATGGAGTATTTTCGTCAGCCAAAAGAATCTCGTGTCTGGTGATGCTGTTTTTTTTTTGAGGTAAATGTTTCTTACGAGTTCCTCGATTTTTCAGAACTGGACATTCTAGATCTAATAGTAATTCTATCAATGCATGGTCTTTTGAATTGCAGGGGAGAGGAAGGTGAACTATATTTAGGCATTAAAAGAGCCGCTCGGCCTAGAAATGGTTTACCTGACTCGATCCTTAAAAATCAGAGTTCTTATTCCAATGTGCTCTTGTCAGTTGCAAATGCTTTATCGAGCAATAGCACATTTCATGTTTTCTTCAGCCCAAGGTACTGAACTCTGCACCCTTATTTGTTTTCCTGGATGATATTCTTTTTTTTTTTCCTTATTTAGTTGGAACTGTAATCGATATTATTTTCAGACTCACTAAAGCGGTTTCAAATATTGTTAGATATTGTGGATTTAATAAAAGACGGCATGTTATTCCTATGAATTGCGCTTTTATATCATGTAAATGTATTAATATGCAAAATGCTGAAATACATATATTGATGATGACAGTGTTGAGCTCGTAACGTCATGAAAAATGGTGAACAATAGCTATTAATAGTACTATACACTGTTGTATTAGCACATTATTGCCTTTGATAAATAAAACATCAAATTATATCGATATTTTCGGCTTGCACATTTTTCTTGATATGCGTTTCCATTTTAGGTGGGCCCTTGGTAATAAAATTGCGATTTGATTCCATGTTATCACTATGAAGCTGTT